TTTTTCATCAACGTTATTTTCAGTGATTTCCCTGACAAGTCTCCAGTATTCCTGTGGGTGTCTTGAAGACAAAGTTTCAAGTTTGTTTAGTAAATCCTCCGTATATTTCTTCTCTGTCCATTTTCTACAATGTTTGTACTTTTTACGGGCATTATAAAACTGATGTTGTCTATTTCATATATGACAACACAACTATTGCTGTTTTAATTTCAACAGAAGTTTTCTACAGAGAGGTAACAATGTTTGTGATTATTATTCAGTGTACTGTCCTGCCTCGGGTCTCACCTCTTCCCCTCTTACAATCACCCCATCTCTCTATCCCCTCTTGTATCTTTCCCTCGTCTCGTCTCTCTATCCCCTCTTGTATCTTTCCCTCGCCTCGTCTCTCTATCCCCTCTTGTATCTTTCCCTCGCCTCGTCTCTCTATCCCCTCTTGTATCTTTCCCTCGTCTCGTCTCTCTATCCCCTCTTGTATCTTTCCCTCGCCTCGTCTCTCTATCCCCTCTTGCACTCGTCCTCTCACCTCGTCTCTCTATCTCCTCTTGTACTCTTTCCCTCACCTCGTCTCTCTATCCCCTCTTGCACTCGTCCTCTCACCTCGTCTCTCTATCCCCTCTTGCACTCTTTCCCTCGTCTCGTCTCTCTATCCCCTCTTGTACTCTTTCCCTCGTCTCGTCTCTCTATCCCCTCTTGTACTCTTTCCCTCGTCTCGTCTCTCTATCCCCTCTTGTACTCTTTCCCTCACCTCGTCTCTCTATCCCCTCTTGCACTCGTCCTCTCACCTCGTCTCTCTATCCCCTCTTGTACTCGTCCTCTCACCTCGTCTCTCTATCCCCTCTTGCACTCGTCCTCTCACCTCGTCTCTCTATCCCCTCTTGTACTCGTCCTCCCACCTCGTCTCTCTATCCCCTCTTTTACTCTTCCCCTCGCCTCGTCTCTCTATCCCATCTTGCACTCTTTCCCTCGTCTTGTCTCTCTATCCCCTCTTGCACTCTTTCCCTCGTCTCGTCTCTCTATCCCCTCTTGCACTCGTCCTCTCACCTCGTCTCCTAATCCCATCTCTCTACCCCCTCTTCCCCCCTTCAACTCCCCTCGTCTCTCTATCCCCTCTTTGTACTTTCCCTCGCCTCATCACCGAATCCCATCTCTCTACCCCCCTTCCCCCCTTCAACTCCCCTCGTCTCTCTATCCCCTCTTTGTACTTTCCCTCGCCTCATCGCCGAATCCCATCTCTCTACCCCCTCTTCCCCCTTCAACTCCCCTCGTCTCTCTATCCCTCTTGCACTCGTCCTCTCACCTCGTCTCTCTATCCCCTTTTTACCCCTTCAACTCCCCTCGTCTCTCTGTCCCTCTTGCACTCCTCTCGTCCATCAATCTCCTTCCCGACCCTCCCCCTCCCTTCTACTGCGGCAAAACAGGTTCGTGATGTAATTAAGAACTTCTTCGCATATAATTTTATTTTATGACTTTACAGCTTCTCTGTGACAGATAACACTTCGAATTTCCAGTTGAATATGATACATATTTCCCTTGTATTCTCCCAACCGGAAATATCCCCCAAGTCTGTGTGCGTTCATTCCCTTGCTGACAGTAGAGTAGACAATGCCGGCAGTTTTTATTACAGTTTGACGAGAATATTTTCAAATAAATTGTCAAAAAAATTAAAGCCTGTCATGGAACGGTGTAAAAAATCTTAAAAAAACAATGATGCTTAAAACTAAATAATCCAAACGTCTGTTAAAACCTTCTTTTTTTTATTCACTTTTTGTTGAATAATCTTTAGTGTGATGGCCACTTCATTTGATACAGGTTTTACTCACCCAAACGTTGACTGCGAATTTGCAACCAAATTGCGCTATTTGCCCATTTCCAAACTTTTCTATTGGTTTGCGGCATGCGAGGCCATTGCTCCCTCTTTCCGCGCCATTTCGCTTCAATTTCCGGCGAGTCACAGTCAAAGTGTGGAGCTATTTAGACAACTTCCTCTGCCGATTCATCCCTGAATGCCGACTCTTTGCCTCCGAGAGATTTAAGATTCGCTCAGCTTCTGTATCCTGTGGCGGTAATTAATCCATACAGAAGGTATTTGCCCCGCAATTAACAAGACAAAAGATCTGTAATACCTTAAGGAGACGAGATGAGATCATCTAAGTGCTCCCGTCCTCTGCATGCAGACCACCGTCACTCCCCCTCCTGCATCAGCCACTCCTGCATCAGCCACTCCGACAGCCTCCCTTGACCACTTTCAGGCACCTAGACAGGGGAGACTACTCCTCTTGAAGCAGGCAGGGTGTATCTCCTCTGGGATGTGAGTGAGTGAGTGAGTGGTCTTGCGTCGCCTTTAGCAATATTCCAGATATATTACGATGAAGGACACCAGAAAAAGGCTTCATACATTGTTCACATTTGGGGAATCGAACACGGGGCCTTTGGGTTACGAGAAAACGCATTGATCACTAGGATAACCAAATGCCTCCTCAGTGATGTAGCAGGGTATACCTACCTACTCCTAGTGTAGCAGGGTATACCTACCTACTCCTAGTGTAGCAGGGTGTACCTACCTCCTCCTAATGGAGCAGGGTATACCTACCTACTCCTAGTGTAGCAGGGTGTACCTACCTACTCCTAGTGTAGCAGGGTGTACCTACCTACTCCTAGTGTAGCAGGGTGTACCTACCTACTCCTAGTGTAGTAGGGTGTATCTACCTACTCCTAGTGTAGCAGGGTGTACCTACCTACTCCTAGTGTAGCAGGGTGTACCTACCTACTCCTAGTGTAGCAGGGTGTACCTACCTCCTCCTAATGTAGCAGGGTGTACCTTCCTACTCCAAATGTAGTAGGGTTTGTCTACCTACTCCTAGTGTAGCAGGGTGTACCTACCTACTCCAAATGTAGTAGGGTGTACCTACCTACTCCAAATGTAGTACGGTGTACCTACCTACTCCTAATGTAGCAGGGTGTACCTACCTACTCCTAGTTTAGCAGGGTGTACCTACCTACTCCTAGTGTAGCAGGGTGTACCTACCTACTCCAAATGTAGTAGGGTTTGTCTACGTACTCCTAGTGTAGCAAGGTATACCTACCTACTCCTAGTGTAGCAGGGTGTACCTACCTACTCCTAGTGTAGCAGGGTGTACCTACCTACTCCTAATGTAGTAGGGTTTGTCTACGTACTCCTAATGTAGCGAGGTATACCTACATACTCCTAATGTAGCAGGGTGTACCTACCTACTCCAAATGTAGTAGGGTGTACCTACCTACTCCTAATGTAGTAGAGTTTGTCTACGTACTCCTAATGTAGCGAGGTATACCTACATACTCCTAATGTAGCAGGGTGTACCTACCTACTCCAAATGTAGTAGGGTTTGTCTACGTACTCCTAATATATCAAGGTATACCTACATACTCCTAATGTAGCAAGGTATACCTACCTACTCCTAGTGTAGCAGGGCGTACCTACCTCCTCCTAATGTAGCAGGGCGTACCTACCTCCTCCTAATGAAGCAAGGTGTATCTACCTACTCCTAATGTAGCAGGGTGTACCGAGCTACTCATATATGTAGCAGGGTGTATATACCTACTCATTAATGTAGCAGGGTGTACCTACCTACTCATTGATGTAGCAGGGTGTACCTACCTACTCATTGATGTAGCAGGGTGTACCTATCTACTCATTTATGTAGCAGGCTGTATCTACCTACTCATTGATGTAGAAGGGTGTACCTACCTACTCATTGATGTAGCAGGGTGTACCTATCTACTCATTGATGTAGCAGGGTGTACCTACCTACTCATTGATGTAGCAGGGTGTACCTACCTACTCATTGATGTAGCAGGGTGTACCTACCTACTCATTGATGTAGCAGGGTGTACCTACCTACTCATTGATGTAGCAGGGTGTACCTACCTACTCATTGATGTAGCAGGGTGTACCTACCTACTCATTGATGTAGCAGGGTGTACCTATCTACTCACATATGTAGCAGGGTGTACCTACCTACTCATTGATGTAGCAGGGTGTACCTACCTACTCATTGATGTAGCAGGGTGTACCTACCTACTCATTGATGTAGCAGGGTGTACCTACCTACTCATTGATGTAGCAGGGTGTACCTACCTACTCATTGATGTAGCAGGGTGTACCTACCTACTCATTGATGTAGCAGGCTGTATCTACCTACTCATTGATGTAGCATGGTGTACCTACCTACTCATTGATGTAGCAGGGTGTACCTATCTACTCACATATGTAGCAGGGTGTACCTACCTTCTCACATATGTAGCAGGGTGTACCTACCTTCTCACATATGTAGCAGGGTGTACCTACCTTCTCACAGATATAGCATTGTTGATCTACCTACTCTTTATTAAAGCTGGTTGTTCCTACAAGCACAGTGACTTAGCAGGGTGTAGCTGTGCGATCTCGTACTCGTTAGTTGTGAGGCATAATCTGACTAAATGTCAGACACATTCTATGTGTACACAGACACCTATGACAGTTGTTAGGAGGCGTTGCGCACGCGTCACAATTGTTACCATGAAGACAGCTGCTAATTGTTCACGTCACGGTAAAATGATCAAGCGTTTAAATTTCAATCCAAGTCTCGGGAGACATTCTGCGCGTCCCTACAGTCATGCAATATGCAGCACAGTGAGGTCACCTCGGTCCGTCATTTGTCTACATCCGGGGACACCAAGGACTGTCGACATCCCCACTAGCGGTGTTTAAAGTTTAATCGTAAGCTCAGTCAACGAGGGACGACACTAAACACTGTTATCACTCCGTGCACACCAATCATTTATGCCGCTATTCATATCATGCCACGTGGAACGCTGCAGTGTTTAGACGCAATCTAGGCTCTTCTCGCGATCGGACGTGTGAATGGCATGGAATATCCGAGACCGATTAGACGATACAAAAGAGCTTTAGTTAGTGATCATAGGAAGGTTAATATTTCATATGGGCGATGTGACATCGATTCGATTTCTATGAGGCAACAATGGATGGTAAGCCAAGTGTATAACGGACAGGGACCCATGGGGGATGCAACCAGCCCCACACAATACACAACACTTTTAAACAGTTTTAAAGATGCAAGACAAAATACCAGGCCACTGACTGACGCGGCAGTAGGACTATTATTGGAATTTTCCGCCAGATTAGTTGGTATCCCTACTAACTTAATGACGGCGTTCGCCCAGAGCTGCTGCAATGTCTCCTCATAGAGAGGTGCAGTCTGGTTCTAATGGCTACACTATGTACAGTTATTGACTTACATTAGGACATTACCGGCGCCTCACTGTCCACATTACAAGGTGTCCACATATACTGGCGGGTAATAGCGCGTGGTCTGATGGACAAATGCACGTGCTAAATGGCAATCTCGTGCCACGTAAAAAATGACGTCATCTGTTAGTGGACAATTAAAGGGCCGGCCAGAATCTGCGCTGATCCACCACCTCCAGGTGTTAGAATCAATGTCATGATTAAAGGATATTACTGCAGGCAGCTTACGGTACAGAACGGATTGGTCAACTTATACCATTTGTCACACTGATTATTGGTAGACCCGTACAGCTATGATATTCCTCACTCTGGTTGTTGGTAGACGCTTATATAGCTATGATATTAATCACTCTGGTTGTTGGTAGATGCTTATATAGCTATGATATTAATCACTCTGATTGTTGGTAGACGCTTATATAGCTATGATATTAATCACTCTGATTGTTGGTAGACGCTTATATAGCTATGATATTAATCACTCTGATTGTTGATAGACGCTTATATAGCTATGATATTAATCACTCTGATTGTTGGTAGACGCTTATATAGCTATGATATTAATCACTCTGGTTGTTGGTAGATGCTTATATAGCTATGATATTAATCACTCTGATTGTTGGTAGATGCTAATATAGCTATGATATTAATCACTCTGATTGTTGGTAGACGCTTATATAGCTATGATATTAATCACTCTGATTGTTGGTAGACGCTTATATAGCTATGATATTAATCACTCTGATTGTTGGTAGATGCTTATATAGCTATGATATTAATCACTCTGATTGTTGGTAGACTCTTATATAGCTATGATATTAATCACTCTGATTGTTGGTAGATGCTAATATAGCTATGATATTAATCACTCTGATTGTTGGTAGATGCTTATATAGCTATGATATTCGCCACTCTGATTGTTGGTAGACGCTTATATAGCTATGATATTAATCACTCTGATTGTTGGTAGATGCTAATATAGCTATGATATTAATCACTCTGATTGTTAGTAGACGCTTATATAGCTATGATATTCTTCACTCTGATTGTTGGTAGACGCTTATATAGCTATGATATTCGTCACTCTGATTGTTGGTACATGGTTATATAGCTATGATATTCATCACTCTGATTGTTGGTAGATGCTTATATAGCTATGATATTCGTCACTCTGATTGTTGGTAGATGGTTATATAGCTATGATATTCATCACTCTGATTGTTGGTAGACGCTTATATAGCTATGATATTCGTCACTCTGATTGTTGGTAGATGCTTATATAGCTATGATATTCGTCACTCTGATTGTTGGTAGACGCTTATATAGCTATGATATTCATCACTCTGATTGTTGGTAGATCCTTATATAGCTATGATATTAATCACTCTGATTGAGTGTGTTATAGACAAGGGTGCCGTTGTACAAAACAACCTGAGCGCTAAGATCGCTTTTTACAATGGCACCAAGGAATTGTGGTCAGTGCGAGGCATGGTGTGTCCACCTGCGTCCAGAGTCCGACCGCGTGTGACCACCCAGAAGGGGCTTATTGGTATATAATCCAGCCTCAACGCCACAATCTTCTCACCTGCATGGCTGATCACGCTCGTCACTTCATGAAAACCAGGCAAAACCAGGCTTGTAGATGAGGGTATATTCACTGGCCGCAGTTCCTTGGGGGAAGCGTGACGCTTGCACTCCTTGACCCCGTGACACAACGTTATGGAGGTCACCTGGTGCTGTGGAGGGGAGGGGGGAGACACACACGGTACACCTCCATCTACTCCCGCTAAGAGGTATCCAACGCTGCTCACCCCATCCCCTCACTCCATCCCCTCACACACTCCCTCATCTCGATCTCTCACACACCCCTCACCCAAGCCCCTTACTCCACCTCTCCCCCAACCCCTCATGCCCTCCTATCACCAACCCCCCTCACTCATCCCTCTCACCCCATCCCCTCGCTCCATCCCCTTACCCCATCCCCTTACACATTCCCTCATCTCGATCTCTCACACACCCCCCTCACCCAAGCCCCTTACTCCACCTCTCCCCCAACCCCTCATGCCCTCCTCTCACCAACCCCCCTCACTCATCCCCCTCACCCCATCCCCTCGCTCCATCCCCTTACCCCATCCCCTCACTCCATCCCCTCACTCCATCCCCTCACTCCATCCCCTCACTCCATCCCCTCACTCCATCCCCTCACTCCATCCCCTCATCCCTTCCCCTCACCCCATCCCCTCACCCCATCCCCTCACTCCATCCCCTCACCCCATCCCCTCGCTCCATCCCCTCACCCTATCCCCTCGCTCCATCCCCTTACCCCATCCCCTCACTCCATCCCCTCACTCCATCCCCTCACTCCATCCCCTCACTCCATCCCCTCACTCCATCCCCTCACTCCATCCCCTCACTCCATCCCCTCATCCCTTCCCCTCACCCCATCCCCTCACCCCATCCCCTCACCCCATCCCCTCACCCCATCCCCTCACTCCATCCCCTCACCCTATCCCCTCGCTCCATCCCCTTACCCCATCCCCTCACCCCATCCCCTCACTCCATCCCCTCACTCCATCCCCTCACTCCATCCCCTCACTCCATCCCCTCACCCCATCCCCTCACTCCATCCCCTCACCCCATCCTCTCACTCCATCCCCTCACCCAATCCCCTCACCCAATCCCCTCACCCCATCCCCTCACCCCATCCCCTCACTCCATCCCCTCACTCCATCCCCTCACTCCATCCCCTTATCCCATCCCCTCACCCCATCCCCTCACTCCATCCCCTCACTCCATCCCCTCACCCCATCCCCTCACCCCATCCCCTTATCCCATCCCCTCACTCCATCCCCTCAATCCATCCCCCCACTCCATCCCCTCACCCCATCCCCTCACCCCATCCCCTCACCCAACCCTCACCCCATCCCCTCACCCAACCCCTCACTCCATCCCCTCACCCCATCCCCTCACTCCATCCCCTCACCCAACCCCTCATTCCATCCCCTCACCCATCCCCTCACCCCATCCCCTCACCCCATCCCCTCACCCCATCCCCTCACTCCATCCCCTCACCCAACCCTCACCCATCCCCTCACCCCATCCCCTCACCCCATCCCCTCACCCAACCCATTCTGATCCCGCCACCTCCACTCTCTTCCCGCCATCCTCACTCCAAACCTGTCATCCTCACTCTTATCCCGTCACCTCCACTCTCATTTCGTCACTCTCACTCTCACCCCGTCACAACCGATCTCTTCCCGTCATCCTCACTCCCATCCTGTCATGCTCACTCTTATCCCGTCACTCCAACTCTCATTTCGTCACTCTCACTCTCATCCCGTCACAACCAATCTCTTCCCGTCATCCTCACTCCATCCTGTCATGCTCACTCTTATCCCGTCACCTCCACTCTCATTTCGCCACTCTCACTCTCATCCCGTCACTCTCACTCTCATCCCGTCACCTCCACTCTCTTCCTGTCACTATCACTCTCATCCCGTCACCACCAATCTCTTCCTGTCACTCTCACTCTCATCCCCTCACCTCCACTTTCTTCCCGTCACTCTCACTCTCATCCCGTCACTCTCACTCTCATCCCGTCACCTCCACTCTCTTCCTGTCACTATCACTCTCATCCCGTCACCACCAATCTCTTCCTGTCATTCTTACTCTCATCCCCTCACCTCCACTCTCTTCCCGTCATCCTCACTCTTATCCCGTCACCTCCACTCTCATTCTGTCATCCTCACTCTTATCCCGTCACCTCCACTCTCATTCTGTCACTCTCACTCTCATCCCATCACTCTCACTCTCATCCCGTCACCTCCACTCTCATCCCGTCACTCTCACTCTCATCCCGTCACCTCCACTCTCTTCCTGTCACTATCACTCTCATCCCGTCACCACCAATCTCTTCCTGTCATTCTTACTCTCATCCCCTCACCTCCACTCTCTTCCCGTCATCCTCACTCTTATCCCGTCACCTCCACTCTCATTCTGTCATCCTCACTCTTATCCCGTCACCTCCACTCTCATTCTGTCACTCTCACTCTCATCCCATCACTCTCACTCTCATCCCGTCACCTCCACTCTCTCCCTGTCACTCTCACTCTCATCCCGCAACTCTCACTCTCATCCTGTCACCTCCACTCTCTTCCTGTCACTCTCACTCTCATCCCGTAACTCTCACTCTCATCCCGTAACTCTCACTCTTATCCCGTCACCTCCACTCTCATCCCGTAACTCTCACTCTCATCCCGTCACCTCCACTCTCTTCCTGTCACTCTCACTCTCATCCCGTCACTCTCACTCTCATCCTGTCACCTCCACTCTCTTCCTGTCACTCTCACTCTCATCCCGTAACTCTCACTCTCATCCCGTCACCTCCACTCTCTTCCTGTCACTCTCACTCTCATCCCGTCACTCTCACTCTCATCCCGTCACCTCCACTCTCTTCCTGTCACTCTCACTCTCATCCCGCAACTCTCACTCTCATCCCGTCACCTCCACTCTCTTCCTGTCACTCTCACTCTCATCCCGTCACTCTCACTCTCATCCCGTCACTCTCACTCTCTTCCTGTCACTCTCACTCTCATCCCGCAACTCTCACTCTCATCCCGTCACCTCCACTCTCTTCCTGTCACTCTCACTCTCATCCCGCAACTCTCACTCTCATCCCGTCACCTCCACTCTCTTCCTGTCACTCTCACTCTCATCCCGTCACTCTCACTCTCATCCCGTCACCTCCACTTTCTTCCTGTCACTCTCACTCTCATCCCGTCACTCTCACTCTCATCCCGTCACCTCCACTCTCTTCCTGTCACTCTCACTCACATCCCGTTGCCCCACTCTCTTCCTGTCACTCTCACTCACACCCTCATCCCGTCATCCTCCCTCTGACCATGCCACTCTTACTCTGATCCCGTCACCTCCACTCTCATCCCGTCACCTTACTCTCACCCCGTTATCCTCACCTTCATCCTGTCACTCTTACTCTTATTCCGTGACCATCACTCTGACCAAGTAACTCTCAGCATCATCCCGTCACTCTCACTCTCATCCCGTAACCCTCACCCTCATCTTGCTATCCTCATTCTCATCCCGTCACCCTCACTCTCACCCCGTTATTCTCAGTTTCATCCTGTCAACTTTTACTCTCATTCCGTGATCATCACTCTCATCCTGTCACTCTCAGCATCATCCCGTCACCCTCACCCTCACCTTGCTATCCTCATTCTCATCCCATCACCCCACTCTCATCCCGACACCGTCACCCTGATGGCGTGACGCTCAGTTTGATCCCGTCACTCTCACTCTCATCCCGACACTGTCACCCCAGTCCCGTCAACCCACTCTCATCCCGTCACTGTCACCCCAGTCCCGTCACCCCACTCTCCTCCCGACACTGTCACCCCAGTCCCGTCACCCCACTCTCATACCGTCACTGTCACCCCAGTCCCGTCACCCCACTCTCATACCGTCACTGTCACCCCAGTCCCGTCCGCCCACTCTCATACCGTCACTGTCACCCCAGTCCCGTCACCCAACTCTCATCCCGTCACTGTCACCCCAGTCCCGTCACCCCACTCTCCTCCCGACACTGTCACCCCAGTCCCGTCACCCCACTCTCATACCGTCACTGTCACCCCAGTCCCGTCACCCCACTCTCATACCGTCACTGTCACCCCAGTCCTGTCCGCCCACTCTCATACCGTCACTGTCACCCCAGTCCCGTCACCCCACTCTCATCCCGTCACTGTCACCCCAGTCCCGTCACCCCACTCTCCTCCCGACACTGTCACCCCAGTCCCGTCACCCCACTCTCATACCGTCACTGTCACCCCAGTCCCGTCACCCCACTCTCATACCGTCACTGTCACCCCAGTCCCGTCCGCCCACTCTCATACCGTCACTGTCACCCCAGTCCCGTCACCCCACTCTCATCCCGTCATTGTCACCCCAGTCCCGTCACCCCACTCTCATACCGTCACTGTCACCCCAGTCCCGTCACCCCACTCTCATCCCGTCATTGTCACCCCAGTCCCGTCACCCCACTCTCGTCCTACCATCTCCGCCCCCATCCCGCCACAATCACCCCCTCCACATATGTGAGAGTCCCTCCCACGACTGACTGAGTTGTCAGTGTGATCATGTTTACTTGTGACAAAGAGATACAGACAGTCAATGCAATCCGCCCATGAAAAGTCGTTGGTATTGATACTAAGCTCTTGCCTGTGTCCTCGCAACACATCTCATCGCCCTTGATTGGCATTTCAATAAAAGATTAACCTCATCTAAAGGGCTGCTCACTGTATGAAATTTGGATTTAGCGAGAGGAAAGAATGGCATGAGCGCTTGAGCCGAAAGCCTGGGGCCATGCAGCAGATTGGCCCGTAACGGTTCACAATCACCCTCTCACGCCGCGCAACCCCTAACGTAAGCACAGGACTCAATGAAAATGTAATTATTTTGTACAAAGAAAGAGCATTTAACTGGTGAGGCAGTCCCCGTGTTGTCGTGGGGCTGCTCGGCTGGGCACCACCTCTCATTGTCTCCCATCAGGTTCCTCCAAACACAAACCAGGCGTGGAAGTCGTCAGGATAACACTCTTCTGTAACATCCTCGAAACAGGGACTGTTACCTCGAGCGTAAGATGTGTGCCTCAGTATTGTTGAGGTGGTATATCGGTGTTGGGAGGTGAATTTGTGTGTGGTGGGAGGTGGGTTTGTGAGGTGAGGTTGGATCTGTGTGCGGTGGGAGGTGGGTTTGTGTGGTGGGAGGTGGGTTTGTGTGGTGGAGGTGGATTTGTGTGGTGGGAGGTGGATCTGTGTGCGGTGGGAGGTGGGTTTGTGTGGTGGAGGTGGATTTGTGTGGTGGGAGGTGGGTTTGTGTGGTGGGAGGTGGATCCGTGTGGTGGAGGTGGGTTTGTGTGGTGGGAGGTGGATCTGTGTGGTGGAGGTGGGTTTGTGTGGTGGGAGGTGGATCTGTGTGGTGGGAGGTGGATCTGTGTGGTGGAGGTGGGTTTGTGTGGTGGGAGGTGGATCTGTGTGGTGGAGGTGGATCTGTGTGGTGGAGGTGGGTTTGTGTGGTAGGAGGTGGATCTGTGTGGTGGAGGTAGATCTGTGTGGTGGAGGTGGGTTTGTGTGGTGGGAGGTGGATCCGTGTGGTGGGAGAAGGGTTTGTGTGGTGGGAGGTGGATCTGTGTGGTGGAGGTGGGTTTGTGTGGTGGGAGGTGGATCCGTGTGGTGGGAGGTTGGTTTGTGTGGTGGGAGGTGGATCCGTGTGGTGGAGGTGGGTTTGTGTGGTGGAGGTGGATTTGTGTGGTGGGAGGTGGGTTTGTGTGGTGGGAGGTGGATCCGTGGGGTGGAGGTTGGTTTGTGTGGTGGGAGGTGGATCTGTGTGGTGGAGGTGGGTTTGTGTGGTGGAGGTGGGTTTGTGTAGTGGGAGGTGGATCTGTGTGGTGGAGGTGGGTTTGTGTAGTGGGAGGTGGATTTGTGTGGTGGGGGTGGGTTTGTGTGGGGGGAAGTGGGTTTGTGTGGTGGGAGGTGGATCCGTGTGGTGGAGGTGGGTTTGTGTGGTGGGAGGTTGGTTTGTGTGGTGGGAGGTGGGTTTGTGAAGTGGGAGTTGGATCTGTGTGGTGGAGGTGGGTTTGTGTGGGGGGAAGTGGGTTTGTGTGGTGGGAGGTGGATCCGTGCGGTGAAGGTGGGTTTGTGTGGTGGGAGGTGGATCTGTGTGGTGGAGGTGGGTTTGTGTGGTGGGAGGTGGATCCGTGAGGTGGGTTTGTGTGGTGGGAGGTGGATCCGTGTGGTGAAGGTGGGTTTGTGTGGTGGGAGATGGATCTGTGTGGTGGAGGTGGGTTTGTGTGGTGGGAGGTGGATCCGTGAGGTGGGTTTGTGTGGTGGGAGGTGGATCCGTGTGGTGAAGGTGGGTTTGTGTGGTGGGAGGTGGATCTGTGTGGTGGGAGATGGATCTGTGGGGTGGATTTGTGTGTGGTGGGAGATGCATCTGTGTGGTGGGAGATGCATCTGTGTGTGGTGGGAGATGGATGTGTGTGGTCTGAGATGGATCTGTGTGGTGGGAGATGGATGTGTGTGGTGGGAGATGGATGGGTGTGGTGGGTGATGGATGTGTGTGGTGGGAGATGGGTGTGTGTGGTGGGAGATACAACTGTGTGTGGTGGGAGATGGATGTGTGCGGTTGGAGATGGATGTGTGTGGTGGGAGATTGATGTGTGTGGTGGGAGATGGATGTGTCTGGTGGGAGATGGATCTGTGTGGTGGGAGATGGATGTGTGTCTGGTGGGAGATGGATGTGTGTGATGGGAGATGGATCTGTGTGTCTGGTGGGAGATGCATCTGTGTGGTGGATTTGTGTGGTGGGAGGTGCATTTGTGTACTGTGGGAGATGGATGTGTGTATGGTGGGAGATGCATCTGTGGGGTGGATTTGTGTGGTGGGAGGTGCATTTGTGTACTGTGGGAGATGGATGTGTGTATGGTGGGAGATGCATCTGTGGGAGATTGATTTGTGTGGTGGGAGATGTATCTCATTGTGGTGGTAGGTGGATTTGTGTGTGGTGGGAGATGGATCTGTTTGTGGACGGAGTCGGGTTAGTGTGTGGTGGGAGGTGGATTTGGGTGGTGGGAGATATATCTGTGTGTGGTGGGAGGTGGATTTGGGTGGTGGGAGATGGATCTGTGTGTGGTGGGAGGTGGATTTGGGTGGTGGGAGATGGATCTGTGTGTGGTGGGAGGTAGATTTGTGTTTGGTGGGAGGTGGATCTGTGTGTGGTGGGAGATGCAACTGTGTGTGGTGGGAGATGGAACTGTGTGGTGGGAGATGGATGTTTGTGGTGGCAGATGGATCTGTGTGGTGGCAGATGGATCTGTTTGTGGTGGGATAGGCATCTGTGAGGTGGGATATGGATCTGTGTGGTGGGAGATGCATCTGTGTTTGGTGGGAGATGCATATGTTTGTGGTGGTAGATACATCTGTGTGGCGGGAGATGGATGTGTATGGTTGGAGATGCATCTGTGTGTGGTGGGAGATGCATCTGTGTGGTGGGAGATGCATCTGTGTGTGGTGGGAGATGCATATGTGTGGTGGGAGATGCATCTGTGTGGTGGGAGATGCATCTGTGTGTGGTGGGAGATGCATCTGTGTGTGGTGGGAGATGCATCTGTGTGGTGGGAGATGCATCTGTGTGTGGTGGGAGATGCATCTGTGTGGTGGGAGATGCATCTGTGTGTGGTGGGAGATGCATCTGTGTGGTGGGAGATGCATCTGTGTGTGGTGGGAGATGCATCTGTGTGTGGTGGGAGATGCATCTGTGTGGTGGGAGATGCATCTGTGTATGGTGGGAGATGCATCTGTGTATGGTGGCAGATGCATCTGTGTGGTGGGATAGGCATCTGTGTGGTGGGAGATGGATCTGTGTGTGGTGGGAGATGCATCTGTGTGGTGGGAGATGCATCTGTGTGTGGTGGGAGATGCATCTGTGTGTGGTGGGAGATGCATCTGTGTGTGGTGGGAGATGCATCTGTGTGTGGTGGGAGATGCATCTGTGTGGTGGGAGATGCATCTGTGTGGTGGGAGATGCATCTGTGTGGTGGGAGATGGATCTGTGTGTGGTGGGAGATGCATCTGTGTGGTGGGAGATGCATCTGTGTGTGGTGGGAGATGCATCTGTGTGTGGTGGGAGATGCATCTGTGTGTGGTGGGAGATGCATCTGTGTGTGGTGGGAGATGCATCTGTGTATGGTGGCAGATGCATCTGTGTGGTGGGATAGGCATCTGTGTGGTGGGAGATGCATCTGTGTGGTGGGAGATGCATCTGTGTGGTGGGAGATGCATCTGTGTGTGGTGGGAGATGCATCTGTGTGGTGGGAGATGCATCTGTGTGGTGGGAGATGCATCTGTGTGTGGTGGGAGATGCATCTGTGTGTGGTGGGAGATGCATCTGTGTGTGGTGGGAGATGCATCTGCGTGGTGGTAGATGCATCTGTGTGGTGGGAGATGCATCTGTGTGGTGGGAGATGCATCTGTGTGTGGTGGGAGATGCATCTGTGTGTGGTGGGAGATGCATCTGTGTGGTGGGAGATGCATCTGTGTATGGTGGGAGATGCATCTGTGTGTGGTGGGAGATGGATGTGTGTGGTGGGAGATGCATCTGTGTATGGTTGGAGATGGATCTGTGTGTTGGGAGATGGATCTGTGTGTTGGGAGATGCATCTGTGTTTTGTGGGAGATGCATATGTTTGTGGTGGGAGATGGATCTGTGTGTGGTGGGTGATGGATGTGTATGGTGGGAGATGGATCTGTGTGTGGTGGGAGATGGATCTGTTTGTGGTGGGAGATGCATCTGTGTGTGGTGGGAGATGCATCTGTGTGTGGTGGGAGATGCATCTGTTTGTGGTGGGAGATGCATCTGTGTGTGGTGGGAGATGCATCTGTTTGTGGTGGGAGATGCATCTGTGTGTGGTGGGAGGTGCATCTGTGTGTGGTGGGAGATGCATCTGTGTGTGGTGGGAGATGCATCTGTGTGTGGTGGGAGATGCATCTGTTTGTGGTGGGAGATGCATCTGTGTGTGGTGGGAGATGCATCTGTTTGTGGTGGGAGATGCATCTGTGTGTGGTGGGAGATGCATCTGTTTGTGGTGGGAGATGCATCTGTGTGTGGTGGGAGATGCATCTGTGTGTGGTGGGAGATGCATCTGTGTGTGGTGGGAGATGCATCTGTGTCTGGTTGGAGATGGGTCTCTGTGGTGGGAGATGCATCTGTTTGTGGTGGGAGATGCATCTGTTTGTGGTGGGAGGTGCATCTGTGTGTGGTGGGAGATGCATCTGTTTGTGGTGGGAGATGCATCTGTGTCTGGTTGGAGATGGGTCTCTGTGGTGGGAGATGGATGTGTGTGCGGTAGGAGATGGATTTGTGTGTGGTGGGAGATGTATCTCTGTGTGGTGGGAGATGGATCCGTGTGCGGTAGGAGATGGATCTGTGTGTGGTGGGAGGTGGATCCGTGTGCGGTAGGAGATGGATCTGTGTGTGGTGGGAGGTGGGTTTGTGTGGTTGGAGGTGGATTTGTGCGGTGACAGGTGGATTTGTGTGGAGGGAGATGTCTGTGTCTGGTAGGAGATGGATTTGTGTGTGGTGGGAGGTGGATTTGTGTGTGGTGGGAGGTGGATTTGTTTGTGGTGGGAGGTGAGTTTGTGTGTGGTGGGAGGTGGATTTGTTTGTGGTGGGAGGTGGGTTTGTGTGGTTGGAGATGGATTTGTGCGGTGACAGGTGGATTTGTGTGGAGGGAGATGTCTGTGTCTGGTAGGAGATGGATTTGTGTGTGGTGGGAGGTGGATTTGTGTGTGGTGGGAGGTGGATTTGTTTGTGGTGGGAGATGGGTTTGTGTGTGGTAGGAGGTGGATTTGTTTGTGGTGGGAGGTGGATTTGTGTGTGGTGGGAGGTGGATTTGTTTGTGGTGGGAGGTGGGTTTGTGTGTGGTGGGAGGTGGATTTGTGTGTGGTGGGAGGTGGATTTGTTTGTTGTGGGAGGTGGGTTTGTGTGTGGTAGGAGGTGGATTTATGTGTGGTGGGAGGTGGATTTGTGTGTGGTAGGAGATGGATCTGTGTGTGATGGGAGGTGGGTTTGTGTGGTTGGAGGTGGATTTGTGCGGTGACAGGTGGATTTGTGTGGAGGGAGATGTCTGTGTCTGGTAGGATGTGGATTTGTGTGTGGTGGGAGGTGGATTTGTGTGTGGTGGGAGGTGGATTTGTTTGTGGTGGGAGATGGGTTTGTGTGTGGTAGGAGGTGGATTTGTGTGTGGTGGGAGGTGGATTTGTGTGTGGTGGGAGGTGGATTTGTTTTTGGTGGGAGGTGGGTTTGTGTGTGGTGGGAGGTGGATTTGTGTGTGGTGGGAGGTGGATTTGTTTGTGGTGGGAGGGGGATTTGTTTGTGGTGGGAGGGGGATTTGTTTGTGGTGGGAGGTGGATTTGTGTGTGGTGCTTGGTTGATCTTTGTGTGGTGGGAGGTGGATGTAAGTGTCGTGGGAGGTGGATTTGTGTGGTCTGGGGTGGATCCGTTTGATGTTAAGTAAGTCGCCGGGAAAGTCTATCCCAGCCTCATCAATTTCAGCAGAATTTCTGCACTTCCCGTTCTACAAAGCGACCATTGCCATAAGTCTTACCTTAGTTAACAAATAAGAGACAAGATCGCCTTTGTTCTAAGATCAGTTTGGGAAATTGTTCTGATGATTTAAACTTCCATTTTTTTTAATTTATACAGCTGATTATACACTGGGTGAAATTACACAAATGGTGGGAATTACAGGGTGGAGGTAGGGTTGGGTAGAGGGGGTGGGGGGTGGGGTGGGGCTGGGGGGTGGGGGGGTGGAGAGAGGGGTATGGGTGGAGTTGCACGGGGTGGGGTGGGTAGGTTAGGGAAAGTGGAATTGCATGGCGGTGTGGTGAGGAGGTGGGGAAAGTGGAGCTGTACGGGGTGGGGAGGTTCGGAAAAAGGGAGTTGCACAGGATGTGGTGGGGAGATGGGGAAAGTTGAGTTGCACGGGGTGGGGAGGTTAGGGAAAGTGGAGTTGCGCTAGGTGGGGTGGGGAGATTAGGGAAAGTGGAGTTGCATGGGGTGGGGTGGGGATGTTGGAGGAAAGTGGAGTTGCACTGTGTGGGGTGGGGTGGGGTGGGGAGGTTGGTTTGGTTGTTGGTTTGTTGTTTTACCCCTCACTCAGCAATATTCAAGCTATATGACGGCGGTCTGTTAATAATCGAGTCTGGACCTGACAATACAGTGATTAATATCATGAGCATCGATCCACGTAATTAGGATACGATGACCTGCATCAACCAAGTCAGCGAGCCTGACCAGCCGATCCCGTTAGTCGCCTTTTACGACAAGCATGGGTTGCTGAAGACCTATTCTACCCCGGAATCTCTCACGGGTCGGGAGGTTGGGGGAAAGTGGGTTTGCGCTAGGTGGCGTGGGGAGGTTAAGGAAAGTGGAGTTGTACGGGGTGGGGAGGTGGGGAAGTGGAGTTGTACGGGGTGTGGTGGGGAGGTGGGGAAGAGGAGTTGCATGGGGGTGTGGTGGGGAGGTGGGGAAAGTGGAATTGCATGGCGGTGTGGTGAGGAGGTGGGGAAAGTGGAATTGCATGGCGGTGTGGTGAGGAGGTGGGGAAAGTGGAATTGCATGGCGGTGTGGTGAGGAGGTGGGGAAAGTGGAATTGCATGGCGGTGTGGTGAGGAGGTGGGGAAAGTGGAGTTGTACGGGGTGTGGTGGGGAAGTGGGGAAGTGGAGTTGAACGGGGTGGGGAAGTGGAGTTGAACGGGGTGTGGTGGGGAGGTGGGAAAAGTGGAATTGCATGGCGGTGTGGTGAGGAGGTTGGGAAAGTGGAATTGCATGGCGGTGTGGTGGGGAGGTGGGGAAAGTGGAATTGCATGGCGGTGTGGTGGGGAGTAGGGGGAAAGTGGAGTTGCACGGGGTGGAGTGGGGATAAGGGGGAAAGTGGAATTGCACGGGGTGGAGTGGGGATAAGGGGGAAAGTGGAATTGCATGGCGGTGTGGTGGGGAGGTGGGGAAAGTGGAATTGCATGGCGGTGTGGTGGGGAGTTGCACGGGGTGTGGTGGGGAGTAGGGGGAAAGTGAGTGAGCGGGTGGGGTGGAGTAGAGCTATGAGGGTGCGTTCGTGATAGGAGGGTGAGTTGATGGACGAAAAGAAGATGGGATTGTATCAGGGTAGAGAGAGACGAGGGTGGGGAGTTTGGGGAGGGTGGGGAGTTTGGTTTCTACGCCGTTATGACGTACAGTGCCATTTGTTGGTATCGGGTGTTTCGTCAATACTGGAACAACGCAGACGAGATGGGAAGACGGGTTTCATTCCGCCATACACAATATTCCATACACAATGTTCCAGTGTGTCCAAGTCAATTAAACAGTTTCCCATTGTTTCTTCAAAGACGTTGAGGACTATATACCACAGTGACAGCCATGCATCCAGTCAGGAAGATGCCATGCATATTTCACACACTGCAGCACACATTGGGGACTGCGATATTGATCCGTCACGAGTCTCAACTCGGGACGCGGGCAATTTGTATGTGTTTTGATTATGGCAAATTATTTATTAATCACTGCCTTATGCCATCACCAACATGGTTTTTTCAGCACTTTGTGTTGTTTAGGGGCTGTTAACAAAGAGTTCAAGTGATGGAGATACAGGAGGCAGCCACAACGGTGACAGTTGCAAGCAAGAAGACGCATCAGTGTACAACCAGGACCCAGCACAACGCTGTCTTAGGGCCAAGATGATCGTACTCCAATACTTTAACACAGGCTCATGACAGTCGTAGGGCTTATATCCTTTGTGCAACTGGGCCCTGGTGTTCGTGGTCTGTACGCATAAAGCGGCACTTCATAATTCCTGGTGTTTCATTTCATTTAGGCATAATGACTTCGATATAACTCGCGTACATTTCCTCCACATTAGATAACGGGTAGCTTTTGACGACATTAATATTATGGCTCATGGAAGAAAGAGAAGTGACCCTTGTAGACATGTTGACCGCTGGAGAGGATGGGTTTTGTGGTAGCGCTGATTGTAGACTCGCGTCAGTGCTGAGCAGGGCAGCAGCCCACGGTGTAAGTGACAAAATGTATTGGACTCCGCAGTAACGCCAACATGGTCAGTTACGAAGACATTGCTACAACAGGAATGGCTCAGCCCTGTGTGGACATCATAGATGAACGAATAATGCAACTATTAAAATAATTAAAATAGTGGTTTATCTTCTCGGCAAAACCTGCATCAATAATTTGCTGCTGCAATGTGCGTGTGCGTGTGCGTGTGCGTGTGCGTGTGAGTTGAGTGTGCCTAAGGAGACAGGCGCCAAGCGTCATACATCTCCATCTCCAACTGGCCTCTCCCAACATTCGCCATTGTTTCGCACTTGAGTCATTTACTGGGACAGACCAACATGGAGGACACTTTGTGCGCTAATGTGCTGGTGTTTCCGAGCTGTCGTGTTGTCGGCAGATCAGTCGTAGGGAATAATGTTTATGATTACGTCGAACACGACGACTTCCCTCCTACTTCGACAAACGAGAGCGAACGTATCCCCGCCTCGCTCCACGCGTTTGTCAATACACACTTGCCCCGCCCACTGCACTCAGTAAGCCACACCTCCTGGCGGATGATTGGCTGAATGCGTGTCAATACAGTTGTTACTGACACACATGGACAGGTCGGAGCGAATAACACGCTGAAGCATGATAGATGTCCCACCGCTCGACGCGCATAGTCGAGATAATTTGCAAACAAATCGAAATTGCAGTGATCGGTGCTGAAGAGTATTGATTCCCGCGAACTGTGACAATCTGCGCCAGTAAGTAGCGAGAGTGCCGCCCAATAGGACTCGCATCGTCCTGGCTCATTATAGCAACAAGACAGGATAAACTGAACGGCAGTGGTTGGTTGATAGCTGATTAAGTCTGATTATCCAAACTTGTGTTTCTGGATGGAATGAAGTCGTCTTACAACCGAGTCACAGACGGATGACGGTCGCCTGGAACTGTGGGAAAGATTGTCACAACATTGAGACAACATTTGGAATTGAGAGATTTCTGTATTTCTTGGAACCACAGTTTGGGTTGTGTGTTCTTTGAACAAAAGTACTGGCCACCTTCACCCCCACCCATTTACACTCGACCCTCGCGGACATTCTACATCTACTGGAGTTTGTAATTTACATCCGACATGTCCGACTCCAAGTCAAGTGTCGCCTTCAACCACAGCGACAGTGAGGGCGACGTTGTTGGAAATGATAAATGCGAAAGTCCTTCAACAACTTCAGGGGCAGATAACTCTGAGGACAGAGAGTCACCGAGGGGTGGTGTCAAATATTCGCCACCCCACAGCAAACCCTCATTTCTTATATCAGACATTCTGTCGGACAGAGGCCCGCACAGGTCCGACCCAGTGTTCCCCTCCGTGAACCCTCTCTACCGGCACCGGCCCGACCCCCCGGCAGAACTACCACACCCAGACTACTTCGTCACACAACCGGGGGACGACGAGAACGACGACAAACTTAGTGATTGTAAGTATACGCCGATAGCTATACCCATAGAGAAGTACGATAGTTATACACGTACAGCATCCCCATACATCCTGACACAGGGATGAAAGTGGATAAGAGAGCCAACAGCAGCAGCTGTACACTGGTAATTTTGTTTGGACGCACTATTTGACAAAAATATATATATATAATTAAATTAGGCAGGCCGTGGTCCATATAAAGAATTCGAAACAAGTAGCGTTTTATACCAGTTAGCCACACTCTCTGACACCTCGCAGCCCGCGCTCCTTGTAGAGAATCCTGAACATATCCAGGTTTCCTCCACACACACACACACCCCGCCACACCCGTCCACCCGTCAACAGACGACCCAGGTACATCACCACGGCTTGTCGTCGTGTGATTCAGTGATATGATTATGCACTAACAACAACTGTCACATCTGCGGAGTAATCTCACCGAGCCCGAGGAGACTTGCCTATCAGGCAAACAGCTTCACTCGTGTAAGGTCTGAAAAGGGAAAACAAATCTGTAATCACAAATCAAATTTTCACCAAAAAACTAACACATCGGAAAAAATTTAAATAATTAGGCTATGAATTGGTGATGAAGACAGGACACTTTTTTATGGATAACTACTTCTTTAATATTTGTAAACAATGTGCCAGGGCTACTTCTGGGTCCGTCATTTCCCCGCTTACACAGAATACAGAAGGTGCTTGCCTGTTCATGTTCCTCCAACATGGGAGTCAAAGACTACATTTTGATCAATTTTAATTATTACATTCCATATATATTTATGAGCTTTATTAATTTTAAAATTATTAATTAATGATCAGCTATGAAGTTGTGTTTGTAAGATCCAGGCTGGCCCACCCATCTTGCGGCAACTCATACAAGCTTCACTTTCTTAATATGTGTTCCTTGAATAATAAATCCAGACCAGTTCTATGTTGCAAACAAAGCAATTGTTAACGGAATATTTTCAATAACTGTAGAATATTGTACGAAGATGTTATATAAAGCCTTTGTTTGTATATTTTTGTAGTAGTTGTATTGGCCCCATAATTCTTTGTTATATAAAACACGGCCGAGTTTCTGCTAAATGTTGTATTTTAATGATAGCAAATCATGTCATTATTCACCCGTCACTTAAGAAGAAACAGCATGGAAATGCAGGCAACGTTTCAACCCGTGGGATTTTACATAGGATTATTTTCATACAGGTACTAATACTTTTCTTGTATTATTCTCATTTTTCTGTTAAACAATCTCTTCTTAAAATTATTTTAAAACTAGTCCTAAGCTTAGATACTATTCATATTATTGCATATCGATGAGTATTTGACAGTTGACAACAATCTGCTTTCCTTCCCGCTCCGCTGTGTATAAGTCTGTACCAATGCCGGGGTCTGTACCAATGCCGGGGTCTGTACCAATGCCGGGGTCTGTACCAATGCCGGGGCGGACGTCGCGGAACTGTCGGGCACATCAACTCCAGGTCTTCTAGAACCTTCCTCAGATCTGACGCGTTGAAATATGTGTTCAAATGAAAAATAAAAAAAACCAAGATATAATGAACAAAAGAAGCAAGAAATAATAGAATTAATTTACCATCACCAAATGCGTATTTATTTGAAGATAAATTAGTACCCACCTGAACTTTAACGCCCGTCGCAGCGGTAATTGCCAAATTATAACAGAAATATATTTTTATGTCAAAAAAGAATATTTTATACAAATATATACTTATAACAGGAATATATTTTTATGTCAAGAAAGACTATTTTATACAAATATATACTTATAACAGGAATATATTTTTATGTCAAGAAAGAATATTTTATACAAATATAATCTTATAACAGGAATATATTTTTATGTCAAGAAAGAATACTTTTTTACAAACAAGCAAACAACAGATAACCGTCTCCCCTCCAGAGGCAAACCGATTGTCTGTACCTGCTTGCTTCCACTGATGAATGTAGCAATGTAGTCAATAACACTACCCAATCCATGCATGTACAAAACATTATTCTTTAAAATCAAAATTGTATACGGTTGCAAAGTTTCCATTCTTTTCCGTTCTCGGCGCTCGGCAATTGTGTGGGTGAGCATGGCGGTGTGTGTGTGTCAGTCCGCGGCTCACACACTGTGTGTATTATTTAAGCATTAAGTGGATATGGCCTGTCGGAGTATGCTTCCATATTCTCAGCGGAGCGCGTGATATAACGGTGATGAATGCATCCAAACTCTATGGCGACTGTGTCGGGCGTCCTACAAGACACTTCTCACACAGGCAAATCGGCAGCGCCGCGCAGTAACAAAGAACATTTTTAACATACATTTAACGTAATACCAGTTTCCGATGATGAACGTATAAATTATTTACACTCCTTAAACCTTAGATAAAACTCTCCATTCAGCCATATCCACGCCATCTAAGTTTAATGTGCATGTCATTGTGAAGAAGTCAGGCCCGCTCCGTCAGGGAACTACGCTATATAGGTGATCTCCAAGTACTGCCATACAACTGCAAAACAACGGCTAGTTTCACACGGCAATATTTGTATACCGGTTAAAATTAATTATTAAAGAATTCCTGTAGAATCCCGCTTTGATCAGCAATGCAGTGGTGGATTTTAACTGCGGGTGTGCAACTGTTTTTCTACTTGACTGCCTGATGCCGTCGGGTGGTTGATGGCGGCGGCATGACGATGTTCGTCGTTGCTGAAGATGACGACACCACACGGATGACCGTATCAGTCAATTAATGAACATTTCATAAACTTTGCAAAAACTTACCCACTTTGAGACTGCGTTATTTTGGGAGTTATTTTCAATAAATGGTTTGGCGTAGGATAGGGGCCGGTGGACTAGATATGTTGCAAATACTGGTATATAAATAAACATAAAAATAAAAAAAGCAGAGCAAAAGTTAATAAAAAAATGAATAAATAAATAAATAAATAAATAAATAAATAAATAAATAAATAAATAAATAAATAAATAAATAAATAAATAAATAAATAAATAAATAAATAAATAAATAAATCACGAAAAGAGTCTACAACCAGGTACCATATCATCTATTATATGGTCTCTGCTACAACAAATGAAAAACATCTAATTTACAGAGGTTTCCTTTTCTTCATCCTGACCTGAAGCCAGCGCTCCCCCACCCCACACACCGAGGTATGTCTTTGCCCCCGCATGCCAACATACCATTTCCTCGTTATTTGTCGACAGATCCTAAGTTGCCAACTCGAGGAAATGATTGTCGATATTCAAGTCAAACGACCCTGTAAGTTGACAAATCGCCGAGCAGTTGTTGAGGAAAGCCAATTCTAACTGATCTATAGCGTGCGGAGCGGGCACATATCACACAAGCCAACATCGCGCCGGTGTGGCTGATCCCCCTCAACCCGATACGTACCCGGGAGGGTCACCTCGCACCCCCGGGTAGAACCTGCTACCCGCGACCGGCCGCGGCGCTGTGGCGGACTCCTCTACGTCGCCAGGCTGGGTGGTCAGTCAATGCGTACAACACCACCCCCGGGAGCGGCAGGGGTGGGGATAGGGGTGGGGATAGGGGTGGGGGTCAGGACTGGAGGCACAGCGATATGGGATTGGGCGGGTGAATGCGAATTGAGAGTTGTGGTGAGGAATTGAGCAGCAGGGCGGGTGTGATGGTGTCCTTGTTGTTACTGTGGATAAGATAGGGTTGGGGTGGGAGTGTGTGTGTGTGTGTGTAGGGGGGGGGGGGGGGGGGGGGGGGGGGGGCAGTTTGGGCGAGGGGTTAGGGTAGCATCTTATGCCCTTGGAATACTGTTGGCGAGGTGGGTGGGGGAGGAGACGGTTGGGGCATGATTCCAGGGCTTATCAACGCCATCTTTCCCTCCGTCAGTGTGACAGAGAAATGTATTGGTAACCGCCAGCTGATTGTATCTGCAGAAATACTTTCTACCACCAAATGCCCCCTTGCACGGCAGATACCCCTTCCACATTCCCCGCACGGGTCCGCAACAATGTTCCACCTGTAACATTAGATCTGGTCACCTATTTTATGGCAAAATTTAGAAAGACCGTATATAGCTGGGCCCAACATAGGGGGACGCCGGACCCCACAGCCACTGGTTTGGGTTCTACCCAAACATGCACCTTTTCAAATGATTGATGGAGACCACGCTCGTGCATGTCGGCTTTAATTATCCTACTCAGTGTGTTGCGTTATAGTTTTGTAAGCTTGTACAATGTTTGAAGCGCGCTTGTCCAGATACTGACAACTTAATTGATGTTGGTACTTGTTTCTCCACATATTGATACCGTGTGATGGTATTGGTACTTCTTTCTCCACATATTGATACCGTGTGATGAGATGGGTGCTTGTTTCTCCACATATTGATACCGTGTGATGAGATGGGTACTTGTTTCTCCACATATTGATACCGTGTGATGAGATTGGTACTTGTTTCTCCACATATTGATACCGTGTGATGAGATGGGTGCTTCTTTCTCCACATATTGATACCGCGTGATGAGATGGGTGCTTGTTTCTCCACATATTAATACCGTGTGATGAGATGGGTGCTTGTTTCTCCACATATTAATACCGTGTGATGAGATTGGTACTTGTTTCTCCACATATTGATACCGTGTGATGAGATGGGTGCTTCTTTCTCCACATATTAATACCGTGTGATGAGATGGGTGCTTGTTTCTCCACATATTAATACCGTGTGATGAGATGGGTGCTTGTTTCTCCACATATTGATACCGTGTGATGAGATGGGTGCTTCTTTCTCCACATATTGATACCGTGTGATGAGATTGGTACTTGTTTCTCCACATATCAATACCGTGTGATGAGATTGGTACTTGTTTCTCCACATATTGATACCGTGTGATGAGATTGGTGCTTGTTTCTCCACATATTAATACCGTGTGATGAGATGGGTACTTGTTTCTCCATATATTGATACCGTGTGATGAGATGGGTACTAGTTTCTCCACCTTTTCAT